ACTCACTGAAGGCTTAGATGATCAGTAGCATTTTTTTTGCAATAAAGTAGTTTTCAATTAAGGTCTGTACACTTTTTAGACAAAATACTATCACACACTTACTAGACTATAGTATAGTATAAACTTGTATATGCACTGAGAAACCAAAAAACTTGGATGATTGGTTTTATTTCAGTTGTGTGGAACTGAAATCGCAACCTGAGTCACGCCTATGTAAATCTAAGTGCCTACAAAATTGTTACCCTACCGTTCACCATTCCTAAGGGTGCAATGAATACCTCCAAAATGCAAGATACTGCCTCAGTGGAGATTCTCAAAGGAAGAATTAACTACCTCCACCTTTAAAGCTCTGAATATTTTCAAAAGCATGTTCTACCCCCAATAAAGCATAAGCATGGAGTACATACCCAGTTATTTAGCCAAAATAGTATTCTGGTATCATTTTAATTGGATTACTGGTCAGACTGAACATATTTCCGTATTTACTCTTTATAAGGTATTTTCTTGCATTTCTCTCAAGTTTGTTTTCCTTTATTTCCCTCCTCTTACCAAGCTGTGATTTGATGTTTTCCTTTTAATACGCAAAAGTTTCTTGTACCACTAAGCTTAGAGTACTTTCATGACTTACGTATTTTATTAATACTCCCCGACTCCATGTAATGCTTTAACTAGGCTAGGTTTTATCTTGGTGTTTGCTATGATAATTTAAATCTATTCTTTCCCCCTATTTCATTGTCCCTTACTTAAAGGCAACTCCTATTAAATTATTAGCAAAATAAAGCTTATTTCCAGGATATCTTACTCTGTTTCTTAAATGTGCCATTTTGCCAGTACAAATAAGCAGGTATTTTGGTGTTTTGTTTTGTTTTGTTTTTTCGTTTTGGAGACAGAGCCTTGTTCTGTTGCCTGGGCTAAAGTGCCGTGGCGTCAGCCTAGCTCACAGCAACCTCGAACTCCTGGGCTCAAGCCATCCCCTCCTGCCTCAGGCTCTCCAGTAGCTGGGGCTACAGGTGCACGTCACCACACCTAGTTAATTTTTTCTATTTTTAGTAGGAACGGGGTCTCTCTCTGTAGCTGAGGCTGGTCTCAAACTCCTGACCTCAAGCAATCCTCCCGGCTCGGCCTCCCAGAGTGCTAGGATTACAGCTGTAAATCACCACACCCAGCCCAAATAAGCAGATTTTTTAAACTCCTGAATAACCCACCTAATACGTGCATACTATTAAGAGCAAGTGAACAAACCTAGGACACATTCTTAGACCAATGACTTCCAAATCACACTTGTTACTTAAATGATACCTGTAAAAGAAATCAGAATCTCTTCTTACCCTGTAACCAGAATTATTCTGTATTTTGGCTTAAAGCAGATTAAATGATTTTCTATAACATATATAAAGGCCCAAATTATGTTTAAGAGTCCCCCCATTGCATGTTAACTAACTGTATTCGCTCCTTTTCCAATGTTCACACTAAGAATGGAAAATAGTCTATGCCATGTCGGTTGTACTCTTTAATATAAACACATTAAGTGACAGCATAAAAATTACCCGAGGAGGCTGTCCACTAACATTTCGACCAACTACATGGAAGAATCAAGTGCTTGAAAGCACTACATACCCAAATCAGTGTGATCCATCTTTCCACTGCTCAGTGACCAAGAAAGGATAAAACATTTGCACATTTATCCACAAATCTAAATATTTTTTATAAAACTATGTCTTCATATTCTTTATGTTCTAAATATTTCTTTATTTAAAAAAAGGAACACTGGGTGGGTGTGGTGGCTCACGCCAGTAATCCTAGCGCTCTGGGAGGCTGAGGCAGGAGGA